CTCGAATCACGGGTATCTCACCTGGGGGGTTTAACCCCCTCGCTTCCCCGTAGTCCGGTCCTATGCCCGGGCCCACTCCGGCTGGTCCAACAGGGTTTGCCCCCGATCTGCTGGCCCAGCCGCCTTCCAGCAGCGGCCGTGGTCCTTGNGGGGGGTTCAACCCCGTCGCTTCCCCGTAGTCCGGTCCTATGCCCGGGCCCACTCCGACTGGTCCAACAGGGTTCGCTCCCGATCTGCTGGCCCAGCCGCCTTCCAGCAGCTGCCGTGGTCCTTGCCCACTATCTCTCGTTTGCTGCTGGAGAAATCCCCCGCCACCGCCGAGCGGCAGCGTGGGCTCTTCTCGTTGGCCTCTGGGGGCAGCAACCCAGCCACCCCTACTGGCTGCATCCGCCACGACGCTGCCAGGCTCCTTCTTCTTCACCGACTCTTCCACCAGGGCCGCAAATTGCGAGATCTGCCGTTGCAAACTTGCAAGCTCCGCGTCGCGGCCCTCCTGCACCGGCGGGCGGATCTGTTCTCCGCTCGCAGCAGCGTGCCCTTCGTCTCCAGCAGAGCTCATCCCGATGTGGCTTCCCTCGAGGGGCAAACTCTAGAGTGTTTGCGGCCTACGCCACTTATTTATCGGGTGAGACTGTTTTGGTGATGTATTAACTTCACGAGAGGTCGCCGACCGTCCTTCACACGGACGAAAGAGGGAGTGCTCAAAGAGCGGCTCCCACAGCAAGGAGGAGCCCCGTGAATCATCGCGGTGCCCCCGACCAAACGGTAATCTTACCAGTCTGCGTGACACAAAATCATCCAGCACATGTATCCAACAACAATGTTGGCAGACCCACGAACAAAACACGCCTTCGTCAAGGCGTAGCCGCACCCGGACCCAGAACCGGAGCGGGGGCAACAGCACGGCCACCATCACTGACAGCAGTCGCGGCGGAAAAGGGGGACGGAGGTCAGGCCACGCAAGTGATGCATGATCGGGGTGGTTTCCGTAGCTCTGGGTTGTTGGGGGAAAACAAGGATGCTTCTGTTCTGCACCGCCTGTTCTACGCCCTCCCGCTGATGTAGGCCAACGGACCATGTCTTCTTTGGCGTTCAAACTTGCCAACATGCAACTTCGTGAACATTCAGCCGCTGTGAAAAGCCATGCCCCTGCCCAGGCCGTTATGGATCATCTCACAACTTCCTTGCCTTTGGACGAACGGGTTGAGTCACCACGCCATGCTGCATCACACGCCTCGACTTCGGCTTCCGGTCCTGAAATGCTGTTGGAACAAGTGCTCACTCTCCTGCGAGCAAATCAAGTAGTGGATGCTGCTGCCGACGCGAATATACAATCTCCTGTGCCCTCCCACGCTCCTAGCGTGCCACCACCTGCCCCATCTTCTTCCCCACGAACGCATCTGACACCGCTGCAAGACCACGCTTCGAACTTTTCGGGAGCTCCTGTAGGGCGCCATGTTCGAGCCGAAACCGCTGCCAGGGCCACGTCAGGATCATCGTCATTAGCCACAATGTCGGCGACAGTACCGGTCGGACCTGCGGCGGCACCGTCAGCGTCGGCAGCCCCAGCCCTGTTGCAACAGCCTTTGGTGGTATCGCCCCCCCCCCCCTCCAGCGTGCGTCTGTTGTGATTGATCCTAGCTCTGCAACCGGGTCAAGCGGCGTCACCGTTGCCACAGGACGATGCTGATTTGCCTTTGTCTTCCACAGGAGCGAGAGCGAGGCAGGAGGCTCTGCACGCTGCGGACGCCGCTGCAACGGAGGCCGACACCATCCGCATTCAAGACAAGATGGACAAGCTGAAGCCGGAACAACTTGATAGTGTAATCCTGATGAATTCGGTCGTTTCGCGTCTAGCTGCAAGGGTGTGGTCACAGAGATCCTCAAAAAAAGCGACGTCAAGCGCAAGCAAACTTTCAATTCCTCCACCTAGGTCACCGGATGGCTTTTGTTGTTGCGCAAACGTGTCATTGCTGCTGTCATTGAAGGCCAAACCACCAACCGTGCCACTCTGGAATTTCTTGATGCCACCTTCCTACAGGTAGAAAACCATCTGCGCAAGGAACCGGCAGGGCCCTCGACGTACGCCTTCTTCATCCAGAAATTGGCGGCTGCCTGGGACACTCAAGACAAGAGCTCGGGGATTGATCGTCTTCGCAGTTTTGGCGTATCCAACGGCGAGACTTACGGAGATTACATTCGTCGCGATAAGGCTCTGGGCATGACCGTCATGGTTTCCCACCACGCGTTTAAGCCTTCGGATGCGCAAGTGCAGATAGCTGTTCGAGACTCCATGTTGAAGCAGTTTCCGGTAGTGTCTGGGCAGGTGTACAAGGATGAGCAGCTCTCCATGAAAGCTCCTTTTGGGCGACATGCTTTGTGTCTGGATTATATGTGGGATGCGTTGGACAAGCGTGCGTTCGCGCACACGCCGGCGGTGCATGGAAATGATTTCTTTTCGGTATCTTCCACGAATGCTAGGAGTTTGTCTGCTGTTTCGCGTGCTGTAGCTTCTTCGGCGTTGCGTTCGACGGTGACCCCTTCGTGGAGCCAAGGTTCTTCGGCCGCCGTGATGAGTGTTGACCATCTACCTAATGATGATCGCGACCCTTTTCTGTTGCACTACAGTGACTGGCCGTTGCAAGGACACTAGTGAGATGGCTCTACCAAGAATGAAGAATGATCCGCCGTTGTTCACCCCCTTGGTCTCGGCTGAAGAACGCCGCAACGCGCTTCGACTGCACGAGGGCAAGTGCCTCAACTGCTTAGGAGAAGACCACTCCTTCAAATCCTGTAATCGTGGTTTCGTGAACGCCACCGGCTTGCTTAACAATGACATCAAGTTCTGCATGAAAAATGATCCCACCCTTTGGGGTCAGTGGAAAAAGTGCATGACCTCGAATAGACGCCCTACAGGACGCAACCCACACCGAAATCATCCCTCAGGACGCGCCCGCCGCTCATCTGACACATCGGGCACGAAACAGTCCTCACACACAGAGCTCTCGTCGGAGGCTTCCACTTCGACAAAAAGGGGCTGGAGGGGTAAGAAACGACAAGCCGATGGCGGAGTGCAGCCGGTACTACCGTCAACAGCAACCACCGTGCACCCTTTTGAAGTCTCCCAAGATATTCGTCTACAGCCTATTTCTTTGGATACTCCCCACGCTCCTCAATCACATCTAGTTTCTCCGCCCTCCTCCTCGTGGTCCGCCTCATCGTCTGCTGGTTATGGACATGACAGACCCATTTCGGCAGTACCTTTGTGGTGTGGGCGACAGGGAGGTAAGACGTCGAGCGGTCCATCCCTGCTCACCTCGTCGTCTCGGGTTACAGAAGGAACAAGAACCTCGTCTTCTACTATTCGTCAAGACTCTCCTGGTGTTGTCAGCCGGTCCTCTTCTCGAATAGCACACGAGCCTTCTTCCAGACTCGTCGGGAACCCCGTCGATCGTCCTTCTCTTTCGCAGCTTTCGTTGTCATTGACCGTCCGCTGCCCCCATGTGACAGCACCTGATACGAATGCGTCTTTCTCTGCTGCCCACCACGTGCTGACTGCACCACTGTCATCGGGATCGGATGGTAGTGCCCACCATTCTGTGGAAGGTTCGGCTCCTTTGTCAAGGGGGAGTAGTCAAGAGCGCCCTACGTCAATGAACAAACATCAGTCTGTTGCAGGAATGACTTCTCCTAACGAACGGGTCTCCAATAGCCGAATGGCCTCTGCTAACATTGACCCTGCCGGAGCCGCCGTCCTTAGGCCGCCCTCCGGATCTCGGAGCGTTGCGACTTCGCCCGCTCCCGCCTCGCTTTCTGGGTCCTCCCCGTCGGAGAAGAGGACCCGTCAGCTTGGTCCACCCCCGCCTGTGCCTGGTGCCCGCTCTTTGCCCCTTCGCCTTGCACCGGCTCCGCCGTTTGATGACAAGTGCGAGTACGCTTCGGATTTCGTCTTTCGTTTCTGAAAACCTCCGTCTGTGTTCTCGCAATGGACTCCTTCGGCTTTTTACGAACTGGGGGTACGTTATTCATGTGGTGAGCAATTTATGATGTCTGCAAAAGCGAATTTGTTTGGAGACATGACGTCGTATGACAAAATTATGGCTGCAACAGATCCTAAGACACACAAGTTTTTGGGTCGTAACGTGCTTCCTTTCGACTATGCTGAATAGGAGCGTCGTCGTGAAGAGACCGTGCTTACGGGGTCGTATGCCAGATTTGCTCAAAACCATGACATATAACATCATCTACTGGAGACGGATACCCACCTCCTTGCAGAAGCCAGCCCCTCCGATCGTGTTTGGGGTATCGGCATGTCTGCATGCTTTCCAGAGGCTAGCGTTTCATCCAAGTTGGCTGCTAGCGGTAAAACCTTGTTGGGAAAAGCTTTGATGGAAGTTCGACGCCTTTTGCGTGATCATCCCCTGTCTGGCGAAAAATTCCCCGCTTCCACTTCTCCCACGCCCCCCATTTCGCAGCCTCCTCTCCATGGACATCGACGCATCCATGAGGTTGCTACTGCGGCAGGTTCTTCGTCACGGGAGGACACGGGCGACGACCCAGCTTGTCTCCGTTTGGACGCTCTGGGGGACCATGCTCCTGGCGTTCATCTAGTGGCATCGACCTCCGCTTGTGCAGACCAGCCTCCTCTTCTCGAACATGGGCCCGATCTGGTCGGCGGCACGCTCCTGTTGGACTCGGACTCATACACCACCCGGGTCCTGCTGCATGGAGGACCTACAGCCACTTCTCAACTCGCGCGAGTGGTGCTTCTGGACTCTGGGTCTCCTGCATCCTTCGTGTCCGACTCCGTGGTCACCACCATGATAGCTGCCGGAGCCCTGACAGCTGCCAGCGTTCGTGGTTCCCCCTCTCGTCGTTGGGGTCGGTTTGGTGATGGACCCGCCCTTGTGACCACCCGGTCAATTCGTCTCACCGTTAATTTTCTCCATGGAGATAGAGCTACCGCTTCCTTGGCGGTCTGGGCCTGTGTTGTTCCAGACGCCGCCATGGGGCACGCCGTGCTTCTGGGTCGTGATAGCTGGATGCGCTTCAACTCTCGCGTGTTCACCACCCTCCCCCACCTTGGACCGGACGGCCGGGTTGTGGGCGAGCTCATGCTCTCTGCGAGTTTTACAGCTGGCGCTTGCGTTTACGCTACACACGACGACGCTCCTCCCTCCTCGTTTCACCTTAAATATGCACGGAGCTCGGGAATTTCTTTTAGGCCGGAGCCTGTACTCATTGAGGTGGACCTCGTTCGTTCTTCTGGCATGCCTGCGGTGATTGGAGAGTTTATGGTATCGTTCAAACCCGAAGTGGGTGCGCTTTCGTCCCCAGATGCGTTCGTTTCCGATGGTCTCCAGCGTATTCCCCTTACAGGTTGTGCCGAGCTTGAGCCGGGAGACGTAATTGGAGTGTCTGCCGCGCCGCTACTACGAGTACCGGTGGAAACCCTGAAGGCGGCACCATCTTCGATTCCTACCGGCCCTACAACATCTGCATCACCACCTCGGGTCAACGCCGTTGGCCCCAAGTCCGGGACTCACCGCTCTCCGGACCCAGCCTCCGCCCCGCCTCCTCCGAAGCCGCCTCCACAAGAACTACTTGACCGCTTCTCTGAGGCACAGCGCTCCAGCTTCATGCGCTTGTGGGCTAGGCTTCCCGCACATATGCACGACATCGCTTTCGATCTACACAATCCAGGATGGACACCGGAGGCTATTGATCGTTTGGCCGACGCCCTTGTGGAGTATT